ATACCCTGCAGTTACAACTCACATAACAAAATTTGTCTGGCCCAGTTCTGGCCCACACAATGCACTAACACTCGTCCAGGATGCTCAAACCAATTGCATCTCTTTTGTGATCCAGATGTGGTTTGCCAAAGGTGGTCTATGCATGGGCCAGCATCACATAAACCCAATCAAAACCAGCCCACTTGTGGTATTGGCAGATTTGGGCCACATAAACCAAATCACAACTGGGCCAGTTGTGGAATGCCATCTTAAAAACAGTGCCATCATTGCCAGACTGGTCTCACATCCGGTTGACAAACCACTTACCATACCAGCAGTCAGTCAGCAGTTCCTGCTTGACACCAGATCTGGCCCACATCTGTCTGCTATGTGAGAAGAGTCTACATACAGCCTCACTGTATTTTTCTCAGGGATGGACAGATTGGGTCAATGGCTATATGGTATTGGTGCTTTGGGTAGAAGGACTATAGTACATCTATAGGGGTGATGAGGTGGAAGGGAAAGGCTCTCTGCTTGCTGAACACATTAAGAAGACTGAGGTACACAGAAAGCACATTAGATACATCTGGGGTTTTACTGGGTGGAGATACAGAGAGAGACTATAATGACATCCATCTGTCCATTTTCTTCCACTTATCCGGGGTTGGGTCACAGCAACCTAAGCAGAGAGACCCTTCCCTCTCCCCAGCCACTTGGGTCATCTCGTCCGGGGGAATCCCAAGGCGTTCACAGGCCAGCCGAGAAACATAGTCCCTCCAGCGTGTCTTCCTCTGGACCTCCTCCCAGTGGGATGTGCTTGGGAAACCTCACCAGGAAGGCATCCAGGAGGCATCCTAACCAGATGAACCACCTCAACTGGCTCCTCTCGACGTGGAGGAGCAGCGGCTCTATTCTGAGTCCCTCCCAGATAACTGAGCTTATCAGTTTATCTCTAAGGGAGAGCCCAGACACCCTGCAGAGGAAACTCATTTCAGCCGTTTGTATCCGTGATCTCATTTTTTCACTCACTACCCAAAGCTCGTGACCATAGATTAGGTTAGGAACATAGAATGACCGTCTTCTGGCTCAGCTCTCTCTTCACCATGACAGACTGGTACAGCACTTGCATCACTGCAGACGCAGCACCAATCTGCCTTTTGATCTCCCGCTCCATTCTTCCGTCATTCGTGAACAAGACCCTGAGATGCTTAAACTCCTCCACTTGGGTCAGGACCTCCTCCCCGACCCGGAGAAGGCAGCCTACCATTTTCCGGCTCAAGACCATGGTCTTGGATTTGGAGGCACTGATCCTCATCTCGGCCGCTTCACACTCGGCTGCAAACCACTCCAGTGAGAGCTGGAGATCAGGATCTGATGAAGCCAATAGGACCACATCATCCGCAAAAAGCCGAGATGTGATCCTGTGGTCACCAAAAAGGATTCCCTCAACACCTTGGCTGCGCCTAGAAATTCTGTCCATAAAAGTTATAAACAGAATCGATGTCAAAGGGCAACCTTGGCGGAGTCCAACTCTCACCAGAAACGAGTCCGACTTACTACCGGCAATGCGGACCAAGCTCTGGCACCAGTCATACAGGGACCTAACAGCCCGTAACAAWGGGCCTGGTACCCCATACTCCCGAAGTACCCCCCACAGGAGTCCCAGAGGGACACAGTCGAACACCTTCTCTAAGTTCACAAAATACATGTAGACAGGTTGAGCGAACTCCCATGCACTCTCCAGGACCCTGCTGAGGGTGTAGAGCTGGTCCACTGTTCCATGACCAGGACGAAAACCACACTGCTCTGTCTGCTGTAACAACGGTGTGGCCAAAATACAAAAATAAATAAATAGATAAATTAAATAAAAACCACTGTCTATTCTCTCCTCAGTTTAGTTTATGTAAGAACTGTGTTTGCTCAGCCAAGGAAAAATAAATATACATTATCTAGGAATTAGTTATCAGGGAGTTATTGAGATGAACACAAAAAACACACTCCTCTGTGTGATTGAAACTAGGTACCGTAAATGGATCTAGTTCGGAGTGTAATGGTGATGAAAAATGTCCATTTAAAACTGAAACAGTAAAAGTCTGGAGTTGATGTACCCAAACTTCATTAATGAAACTTTATTTAAGTCCATAGTCCACTACAACCTGGATAGGTAAAGTAGTATGATTACCACAGATGGTGACAGGTAATGTAAGACAGGGAACAAGAGGACAAATGCAGTGACCCACCAGTATCCTGGGCTACTAACAGGCATGGCCTTATAACTGGCAGGACAGGCAGAGCCAAACTGTCATTGATCAAATTAAGTGAATGGTTAGGGCCCTGCGGACACTAGGGGTCCCAAGATTCAAAACTTTGCCTGAAACACAATCAGATAGTCTATGTGGACCATTTAGCTGACATGGATAACTTCTTCATTTGATCAGTAGCCACATTAATATGCAGAAGCATTGACTGACATGACTCTGACAAATCACAGGATAGTGTAAAATGTTTTTTTTTTTCAACTCATCAGTACCGCAGTGATTGGCCCACTGACTTGTAGTGCCTTGGTTCCACCCAGGAACTCAAGTGCTTCAAACCTTTTGTGTTTTGTCCTCTATGATATTTCTCTCCTCGGGCTACATCACTGTTATGTAGCTACGCTCTTTTAAAAGTGATCTTTGACTGATGGTTTTTCACAGTTGTTTGAGGTTACAAAGTTTTCATTCACACACTGAGCAGGTAATGCTAATGGCTTTAGCAAGGTTGTTAGTCTACATTCTTTTTGTCAACATGATTCAAAAGAAAAAATCTTAAAGTAGCAAGCTGGTGTAGATTCACCCAGAACACGTTAAACACACATAAATAAAACAAATGGACTTCTATTTTGTAGTTGAAGAGTGAAATCCTAAGCTTTGAGCTGCATTAGAGGCAGTTACCCAGCTAAATGAGGACCTTCACTCAGGCTATTTTTAGAACACCTGGTCATATATGTCCTCTACACCAGATCCATTGATTTCAATAGAGCTGTGCCAGTTTAACTATGTTTAAACTTAAACAAATTCAAGAAAACATCATCAGACTCCACCAGGAAAACCACAAAACATTGTGCTACAGTTCTTATAACAGTGACTCAGGATACAGCCATCGTCCCCACATGGAAGGAGTATTTTTGATCACTTTTCCCAAGCTAAGATGCTAGCTAACTGCTGGATTCAAGCGATGGGATGAGCTGAATTTGACTGGATAAAAGTGGAACCATGGACTTAAAGTCTACTCCAAACATTTTATTGGACGTAAAAGACAAGTAAGACCCACAATACGATGAAAGCTGCCATTAAAATAAACAGAAAAAGAAAGTTATGGAGCTACAATTACTTTTTTATTCTATTTTAATTTTGGTTTTTACCTTTCAAGTTCTCCTTTTTTCTGAGCTTTTTTAATAATCTGCATTTTGTAAATACATGTTAAATGTGTATTTTGTTCTTATTTTAATTTCCTATCATGTTAAAAATGTTAATATGTTTATTGTGATWTTCATCTTTATCATTCTTTTGACACTTGAATGTGTACAACATTAGTCCTATTGATTTATTACTGGTTAGAATAGTTTATGGCTTGAAGTTTTAGGGAAACTTTCTTATTTTCTACCTTACATGACTTATTGCCCATTATAATAGAGAATAAAACATAATCTTTTTATTTTATGCTGTTTGATGGGTATTATACATTTTTGTAAAACTTTAGGTTTAGAATTCTGTGGGGATCAAACCAAGTTAATCTTATATTACAAGCTTCCACACATTCAGACCAATAAATAACACACAGACTGTACTTATTTAGCCCATTTCTATCCAACCAGGCTATTGAATGTGCTTAACAACACAATCTGTATCTTTACCTGTCCACACATATTCACACAGCGTTTACAGTGAGTGTGCTCAGACAACTGTACACAGTGGTTCAGCATGTTCACAGATTAAATAAATGAATACAGTTTCTATATGCTGCAGGATGTTTGTTACTTTGGATTCTAGTGAAGAGAAATTCAGCTGCAGTCAGCACATTATTACATCTCCATAAGAGTGTCAGTCATTTCATCCCTCTACCATTTGTATCCCCACTTTGTACACCCCCCCCCCCCCACTGGGTACAAAAAGGTCATGCCTTTGCACCAACAGGATTCCTGTATGTTTGCAGTTCTGCTTGTAAATGTGCTTGTTCAATGCGACCTTGCACAGAATGAAGCTGTGGTTTTTTAATGGCCAAAAAGGTATCGTTACCATGAGACAGTGGGAAAAAAGACATTTTTAAAAGTGTAGGCCGGTACAAGAAATCATCTACGCTGTGGTGGAGTACTGCTCAATCCCAGAGTGTAAAATATGCATGGGCCAAGCAGTTTAACTTGTGGAGCTAAAATTAGAAAATATTTCACTTTCAAACCTGCAGAACTTGGTTCACTAAATGCTTACAGCATTTGGTAACAGAAGAAATGCACTGTTAAACATGAAACATTCAAATAAACCTGCTTTGTTTGAACATTTCACTAAGAAACTTTGTGCTACTTAGAGTTTCACGTTAAGGCTGAAAACCTTTAAATGTTAATTTTGCCCTCATTTTGCACAACATTTCAACAGTTTGGAGAAAAGGCTTGATTGTAACCAGTTAGAATATGTCAAGAATATTTATTGTGAAGACTTTCATGTAGTTTGCACACATACTCTGATATCTTCTTTTTTTTCTGTTTGCTTTCTGCTCTGGAGCCTTTTATTCAGAGGCTTTTGCAAAGAATGACACGAGGAGGTGAAATGAGTTCAAATATCTGAGTCATTAAGGTTTTCAAGCAGCAGTAAGTAGAATTGGTACAAGAGCTCCATTTTCTGCTCACACAAACCACTTACGTTTGTAGAAACTGCATTTCTAAAGAGTTAAGATGTTTTGTTTTTCTTTGAATAAATTGAGTTATTTGACAAAAGCTTGTTCTGCTTTTAAAATGAAGACTTTATGTCTGCTTCTTTTGTTTGAAGGGTGACAGTATTAAACTGGAGGACTTTACTCTCGATGTTTACCGACATTTCTTGGACAGTCTGTGCCCTCGTCCTGAGCTCAACAACATCTTCAAAATGCAGTAAGAAAACAAAAACTGCCTCAAAACTCTAATACTTCTTCGCCCTAATGTAACGGTCTCTAAAGTTGAAGCACAGAAATGCGTGGTTGACAATGTTCTGAGTGAGTAATGATTCATCTGCTGTTTGAAATACAACACAAAGTCATAGAAAAAGGCTCTCTATTGCAATTTTGTCTTTTATGTTTTTATAGTCATGCTGAGATTAATAATAATTTAATATAATTTCCTCAGCTGATTAGTTTAGCAGATGCTGACAATGAGAACAAATGTTCAGATTAGTTTTAGTACAGAGGGTTTCATTTCTATCTGCAGAATTTTGTCTAAATATTAGTTAAGTTGTTTAATATTATTATTATGCAACAGACAATGGCTGATGATCAATTTGTTGAAACAGCCTGCCTTTAAAACAACAAATATGTTTCTATTACAGCACTATTATAAATTCAGGTTGTTCATTTTAAAACCTCCATTGTTGAAAAAAAATGATCAATTCATTAACTTTCAACAAAAGTCATTGTAAAATAATATTAAGCTGTTTGGATCCTCCTTTAGACTCAAATGTGTGTTTTTTTATTCAGTTTAGCTCTTTTATTTGTCTCATTAAAATTAAAACAGTATTGTTAACAGGGACCTGAAATAATACAGGCAGATTTTAGCTTCATTGGACTTTGTATTTTTAATTTTGTTTTGCAATTTCTGAGTTGTTTTACATTAAAAACATTTTCCTTCTTTACTGACTCTGCAGAGGAGGTGATGGTGGGACAGTATCCATCGATCAGATGACAGAATTCATCAACAGCAAGCAGAGAGACCCAAGGCTCAATGAAATCCTCTACCCTCCACTTCGTCCTACACAGACACATGCTCTGATGGAGAGATACCAACAAGACCAAGCACAACTAAAGCAAGGTACTCACAAGCACAACCACTGATGTTTAAACGTAGTTGAAGGTAATTATTTACCTTTTGAATCTGGGGTTTGACCATCGATCTGACTCTCTTATCCAGCACCCCTGAACAGACACTACCAGGGAGGCTAAGGTAGGTGATGCCCCAATATTTGAAACACCTTTATCCGGTTTTTAAAATAGAGGAACCACCACCAGAGTCTGCCAATCCAGTGGCACTGCTCCTGATGTCCACGCGATGTCAACCAAGACTGCCTCACAACATCTAAAGCCTTGAGCAACTCAGGGCTGATCTCATCCAGTCTCTGAGCCCTGCCACAACAGAGCTTTGTAACTACTTCAACGGCCCATTTACTTTATGGATGAACCAACCTCCAAGTCCCCCACCGGACAGTTTGCCAGAATCTCCTCAGTGGGTTTGGTTGAAAGTCTTTATCAAAGGCCTCACTAAACTCTGACCACAGTTAATCTTTTGCCTCAGCAACAACAAGGGCTGAGGCTGCAGATACTCCTCAGCTGCCTCTGGAGACCTACCAGCCAACAAGGCCCAATAGGGCTCCTTCTTCAGCTTGAAGGCCTCCCTGACCTGGGGCGTCCACCACCAAGTTTGAGGATGGCCACTATAAGAAGACTGACAACCTTGTGGCCACAGCTCAAGGCAGCCGCCTCTGCAACTGAACATGACCCCCTCTGACTCAGTCTCCTATCTTTGATGGGATGTGGTTAAAGTTCTCTTGAAGGTTTGAGTTGACTGGTTCTTCTGCCAGGTGCTTCCAGCAAACCCTCACTACACGTTTGGGTCTTCTGGGTTCAGCATCTTCCCTTGCCATCTGATCTAGTTCACTACAAGGTAGTGATCAGTTGACAGCTCAGCTCCTCTCTTCACCCGAGTGTCCAAAACATACAGCCTCAAATCAGATGATATGACTACAAGGTCGATCATCGATCTGTGACCTAGGGTGTCCTGGTGCCACGTGCACTTATGGACACCCTTATGTTCAAACATGGCGTTTGTGATGGATAAACTGTGACTAACACAGAAGTCCAACAACAGAACACCACTCAGGTTCAGATCAAAGAAGCTCTTCCTCCCAATCACGCCTGTCCAGGTCACATTGTTGTTAGCCACGTGGGCATTGAAGCCCGCTCCAAGAAGGCTGGGTACTCCGAACAATCATTTGGTGCATAGGCACAAACAACTGTCAGAGCCCATCCCCCCACCCAAACACTCAGGAATCTACCCTCTCATCCATTGGAGGAAACTCCAACACAGAGGAACGCACAAGCTCAGGCTTCTTCTCCACCAGAGAGGTGAGGTTCCAGGTTCCAAGCGTCAGCTTTGGTAGGCCATGGTCAGAGTGCAAAGGCCCCGCCTTTTGGCGCCTGCCCATGGCATCATGCACCTGAACCCCTCCTGCAGGTGGTGGACCCACAGGAAGGCAAACCCATGTCACTCATTTCAGTTGAACCTGACCAGGCCTCAAGGGTAGAGACCCAGTCACCTGTGAGCCCCTCCTCCAGGCCTAGATCCAAGGTTGGGTATGGGTATTTACCACGTATACACTCAGTAAATAAGGGTTTGTACTTGGTAAATGCCTGGTACTTAAATAATACTTGGAGGATACGTACTTGGTAAGTATCCAGCATGCACCAGACATGTACTCAGTAAGTATAAAGTATGTCACTTCATGTTCCAGGTACCTGTTCAGCTGTATTTACTGCTATGGTTAATATTTGACAGAAAAAACAAAACATAAAGGGTTAAATGTTGCTGTGTCACATGTTAGCAGCTCTGAAAGCTGAGGTAAAGTTTGCTCTCTGTGATTTTCTTTGTATCTATTCAGTATGTTTCTCACGTTTGTTGTATGATATGGTGTTTTTGTATGCATGTTGTCGTTAGGTGTGATATCTCTCCAGGCTTTTTCCAGCTATCTGTCCAGTGATGAGAACGGAGTCATCCCACCTGAGAAACTGGATCAGTCTGAGGACATGAGCTTCCCTCTGTCTCACTATTTTATTAATTCATCTCATAATACCTACCTCACAGGTACGCAGACACACTCCAAACACAAGTCATTTGTTGAGTGTTAGAGAATTAACTGTGGTGCTTGAAGACGTATTTCAACTGAGAGGCAGCAGGAAAGAACAGAGTAATTAAGAGTATGTATTTTCTTCTGTATTTATTTATTGTGGATCCTGCTCAACCAAATTTATGGAACTTTGATTTTTTTAAATTCTGCGAACAAAGCAGAGGGTCGTGGAACCACTCAGTTAACTTTAAGTTTCTCACAGACACCGAGCTCCACGTCCTTATAAAAACACTTTGACTGCATTCACAGCAACAAAAGGAAAATCTACTGTATTATTTATAATATAATTTATGATAAATGTATTGCTCTGTATATATGTTTGTTCTGTTCATATCGTCATCTGTTTTGTTGAAAGGTCGTTTTCGTGTCATGACAGGATACGGTACAGTACAGGTTTCTGTTAATCATCAACCCCCAGAAGTGAAATGGTCATAATGTTTTGGTCTGTATTTGTCTCTGTGAATCTGTCTTGTTGACAAAATAACATGAATTTATTAATTGTTGGATGTCCGTCTCTGTTTTAATGGAAACATCTCTATTCAAGATGGTCACTGCAGCAAAGCTACCGGAATACAAAAATGTCTAGAACTAGAACAGTTTTACAGATGCTAAGCTAAACATTAGCATGTTTGTTTAAACTTTGGCATTAACTTTTGGAGTCAACCTAATGTCCTTGTTAGCAAAATATCTCATGAAGTATTGGGTGAATTTCAATGAAACTCTCTCTCTAAATCTAGAAGTCATTACGCTTTTATTTAAAGGGATGTATCATGCAAAATCCACTTTTTTTATCTGTTTAATACATTTTGTTGTAAACTTGGAGTCTCTAGGAGGCAGAAAAGTTTAATTTAGTCTCTCTTTGAGCTGCAGAGATGTTTTTACATTGTTTGGGTCAGATTTTTCAGCACGTTCAGTTTTCTCTATTTTTATGACATTTTCTGAATTATTATGACAAACTATCTGCAACAGAACTGCCTAATAAGGTCTGGACTTTCGACTACAATTTCTTCGTCTTAATTCTCCTCTCGTCTGGGTCAGACTCTGGTTCTGGCTCAGACTCTGGCTCCAACATGAACAAGTCTTCTGTTGTTGACATCTTTTAATTAAATTGTAAATAAAACATTTCTGCAAGCTAGAAAATGTACCCCCCCACCCCCCCCACCCCACCCCTGAAGTGAACCGGTCTGGAAGCAGGTGGGGGGCGGTGCTTCAAGCATCTTAAAGAGGCTGTATCATGTAAAATCAACTTTTTTGAGTTTTATATCATGTTATAATGTTATACTCTCATAAAAAACATGCCCAAAGCCTTGCTCTGACTCATTCATCATGTTTGAGAAATCCTGCAGCATTTTTAGGAAGCCATGCTGAGGAGCAAAACGACAGGTACCAGAAATGCCCCTGGGACGTGTCTTTAAGCTAAACTTCCTCATGGCAGAGCCCCCCCCCCCCCCCCCCCCCC